GCCGAAATTTGAAGAAAAACTGGACATAATGTTTAAATGTGTTGTCGCAACAGAAAAATTTACTTTCAACCCAAGTAAAAGTACCTTTTCAGGGATGTCAGATGAATTCACTCATGAACCATTGACATCTGATGAAGATGTGCCTAGCATTAATCAGAGAGATACGGGGGACTAGCACAATAAAAGCACAATAAAGAGGCCCAAGGTTGCTAAGAAAAAGAAAAATAAAGAGAAAGAACATGTTTTGAACACCTCCTTCGATCGTTTGATTGAAGCATTTGCAGCTCCACCTATCACTGATGCAAGCATATTAGACTGTTTGAGGTTTTTGCGTACTATTCCTGAAGCTGTTGCAGATAGGCGATTTCACGCACAGTGTGTGAAAAAATTTGTGGATTCAACTAGAATGAAAATATTCATGGCGCTTGAGCCTGAAATGTATCTTGAATATTTACGGGTTTTGTTCGATGAATGATATTTTTATGGATTCATTATGCATTATGTATCAGCACTAATTGACTTATGTTGTTTTATTTTTAATATATGTTTGTTCTTCTATATGAGTCATTCAACATGTGTAATCTTTCTATATGTAGCAAATGAGAACTTTTATTATTAGCACAATTGTTAACATTTTAAATTGTTGGATAGTTGAATATTAATGTTTATATTTTAAATTATTTAGGATGGATCCGCAACATGAACGTCGTAGAAGAATGACATTTGCTCCAGCCGTTGCGATATTGTTGTTGGATTTTTACTAGCGTAGCACTACTCGCATTCCCCGCATGACATCCATCTTTATTGGAGATAGATGGGTTAGTGAAATATTTTCTGGACATCCAATAAGGTTCAGAAATATATTCAGAATGACGACACCTATTTTTATGGATCTTCTGCACGAGTTATGTCTAAATCACGGCCTCCAGGGTTCTTCTAGAACTCTGTCTCGGGAGGTGTTGGCTATAACACTGTACATTCTGGCACAGAATGAGTCAATTCGAGAAGCTATGGAAAGATTTCAACATTCATCTGAAACAATTAGTCGTTACTTTTCAAACGGGATACAGGCACTTGTTAGCTTAGCAGCTCAAATAATTAAATCAGAAGATCCATCATTTGCTACCACTCTAGAACAAATTGTCAACGATACTCGATACATGTCATATTCAAGGTAACTATCAGTGTTTTTATTTTGTTACATGCTATATTTTAATAATATTATTACTCTCTAATGGACAACTAAACAGAACTGTATTGGTACAATTGACGGTACACGGGTTGATGCCCAAATACCCAACCACGAGAAGGTAGCATACATCGGTCGTAGTGGTTCAACAACGCAAAATGTCATGGTTGTATGCGACTTCAACATGTGTTTTACTTTTGTGGTTGCGGGCTGGGAAGGGAGTGCACATGACATTCGGATTTTTTCCTTTACCACGAGGAATAGATCGCAGTGTTTCGCTCACCCCCACACGGGTTGATGCCCAAATACCCAACCACGAGAAGGTAGCATACATCGGTCGTAGTGGTTCAACAACGCACAAAGACATTGCGACTTCAACATGTGTTTTACTTTTGTGGTTGCGGGCTGGGAAGGGAGTGCACATGACATTCGGATTTTTTCCTTTACCACGAGGAATAGATCGCAGTGTTTCGCTCACCCCCCATCAGGTTAGTTTTGTTTAGCAATATGAATATGTGGGATTGTGCAATTTTTTATTAACATATTTTTCGTACCAGGAAAATATTATCTAGTTGATGCAGGATATCCTATGCAAATGGGATACCTGAAGCCCTACTCTGACATAAGATATCATCTTCCTGATTTTGAGCAAGCTAGTGGCACAATTCGTGGCAGAAAGAAAATGTTTAATAAACATCACTCATATTTACGCGGGGTAATTGAAAGAACATTTGGAGTTTGGAAGAAGAAGTGGATCATCTTACGTGATATGTTGTCGTATCCTTTCCAAAAGCAAGTGTACATTGTGGTTGCAACAATGACACAATAACTTCATCTGAAGACTTTTCTCGCAATCAGATACAGACTTCAGTATGGCTGACAATGATGAACTCATTGTTTTCGAGCAACCAACAGGACTTGTAGGGGGGCATTCATTACCTGAGGAGGATATAGAATCTAATGATTTTGGAGATCAAGATGCTGAAAGTGGCTGTGATATGATTG